CGCCCCCCCCCCCCCAGTGACTTGCCGGGTTACTTAGTGTTTCCAGTTTCTTTGGTTCCTTTTCTGGGCTTCTTCTAAATAGTTCTCGTTTGATTCCATTTTGAGTACTTTACGTTAACATATTCGTACTTGAGTGACGCGTAGCCGAAATCGGTACGAATCCCGAAATGAAACACGACTGATCCGTTATGTTCTACGGTACTGAATTAGAAAAATCATTACAAAATGTACAACAAAGCAAACCACAAATATGCGGCCAAAAGCACTCGAGCAATCGAGAACCAAATAGAATGTCCAACAAAAGCNCAGATAAACAATTGTGTGGGTGTTTGTGAGTGATAAAACGTCAATAAACAAGCAACGCAAGAACAGAGTTACGTCAAATGTAATCATTGTGGGTTGGAAAGGATTTTCAAAAAATCAACGCCAAATGCAGTGGCCTCTAACTGAGGCGAACAACTGGCACCAATATCGCATTCTCTATGCAATACGAAGGGACTAGCAGATTCATCGCAATTTCAACTTGAAAATATATAAATGAATAATTGGTTGTTTGAATTCTCTGGCTATATACCTTAACGATGTGTTTTCAGCATTAGAAATATGTACAACGGCTGCTTCGCTCAAGATTGAAGGGCCCATGATGCGATGTAGAGACTCCTTCCGCTTAGCAGTACGCGAAAAACCAAGATTATGCTTATTTTCTCCTTTCCATTAAACAATGAAAACTAATAGAATGATTTAAACTTAAAACGATTAATTAATAAAAGTTAAGTAGCTCATCCACGCTGTCAGATTCATATTAAACGAGGAAAACCCGCGGAAAAACTCACCGCAAGTGAACAAGAATAAACCCTAAATATAGTCATGTCGAAGACTTTCAGCGTCTGGATTCATTTCATTCAAACAAATAAAAACTGAAAAATTACATTCAAGGTTTACATGTTAAGATAAAACGCTGAATTAACCGCGAGTAATTAAAATACAATATTCAGGCAAAAAGTTTCATATTAAGTTTTGGAAATGATGGAAATTTGAATATTTTAAAATAATTACTTTGGGAACATTATTTTGGTTGCCTTGAAGTAAAGAAGGAGAAATGAAAATAAGTAAATGATCGTTTTCAATTATTTTAACACCTGAAAACCGATTTTGAGAGAGTTACTTCCAAAATCCAGTATTTCGAGGACTTTCCCCCAGGTGACTGTACGATGACTTTGGAGTGTACAAATTATAGCTTCTAATCTGATAGAGCAGGTTAGCAGATAATCAAAGATTATAGTAGATTATATT